AAACAGTTGGGTATCTCTATTGATGAAATGTTTCGCCTACACAGTAGGCTTCTTCAGTCAAATACAGAGGGAGCAGTAGTAATGTGAATTAAAGATGTAATCAGTCCATCAACCTTGGAGAAAAAGTATTTGAGGTGGTCAGTCCCTGATGGACTGATTATATCTTTATTTCATTACTGCTACTCCCTTTGTATTTGACTGAAGAAGCTTACTGTGTAGGCGAAACGTTTCATCAATAAAGATACCCAACTATTGCACGTGTGTCTTTGATCTTCCAAAATATTTTCACCTTAAATATTATGAACATTCTTCTGAACTATAAAAATGCCAAGTTTATACATACCAGAACACAACTTTGAAATATGTTGTGGCCCATGACCGGGCTCTGAAGGTAGTGAAACTCTCGAAGCTCTTCAAAGGTATATCATGCTTTTGCCTCTGCTGTTCCTCTGAAGATGTGTGTCAACACATGAAAGCGCTCAAGTTTTTCCTATTTTGACTGTGTTTTTTTTTTCATATTTGCAATCTCCTGTTTTATTGTGCTTTCTTCCACATGATTTTAAATATAAACCTGTTAAGCCATGAGGCAGAAATAACTGTACCAAGTTAAATTTATCAGGTGGGAGTCCAGAGCTGGAGCTCAACACTCGCAAACATAAATAGATGAGAACACACACACAGCGAATTGTATTTATTTTCTTAGGAGTGAAAATGGAAATAGCCAGCATAAATAGTTTGTAACAAAGGCGTTTCCAACCCTCGTAACTTGTGCACAGGTGTGTGTGTGTGTGTGTGTGTGTGTGTGTGTGTGTGTGTGTGTGTGTGTGTGTGTGTGTGTGTGTGTGTGTGTGTGTGTGTGTGTGTTGTGTATGTTGTGTGTGTGTGTGTGTGTGTGTGTGTGTGTGTGTGTGTGTGTGTGTGTGTGTGTGTGTGTGTTGTGTATGTTGTGTGTGTGTGTGTGTGTGTGTGTGTGGTGTGTGTGTGTGTGTGTGTGTGTGTGTGTGTGTGTGTGTGTGTGTGTGTGTGTGTGATCATGCTGTGTGTGTTCTTTTAGGGTTTGAATTCTATCTTATGATCAATCTTAATTATCATCGACCAACTTTACCGATTTCTGGCAAGTGGGGTCATGCCTAGTTTTGAACCTGCGTATATTATCCAGTGTCCTCTGTCTGGTTCGGTATACTTACTGCCGTAAAGCTTCCTTTCCTGATTTATTGCTATTCTGTCGTATATATTAGACACTGTGGAACACTCGGGTATCTTTGTGGAAACGTTGCGCCACAGACTTCATCAGTCCAATACAATAAAGAACAGTGAAGATCAGCAGATAGAGGTAATCAGTCCATCAGTCAGGATAAGACTGATGAACTGATTACATCGACTTCACATCTATACTGTTTCTGCCAACTCTTCTGTACTTGACTGAAGAAGCCTACTGTGTAGGCGAAACGTTTCAGAATAAAGATACGTAACTGTTGCACATGGATCTAAATTATCAACTTGTGGGTGGTCTAAATTATCAACTTGTCGGTGGTCTAAATCATGTACACACTATCGTGTATCTAAGAGCTGCGTGATCTCTGAAGTCATGAAGATGGACTCGAGATCACCTAGTACCTATTTTATTTTCTAGTATCGTTATTTTATCTTTTTCTAGTACATTTATGGTCTTAGTCTACTTTCTAGTACCTTGGACAGGCCTGCTTGTCATTGAAAATGTGTAGTTCAGTGCTTATCACACACACACACACACACACACACACACACTCAAGGACAAGAGCTGTGACTCGACCCCCGCAACCACAACTGAGTACACACACACAACCATGAAGTTTACCACATACAGAGACACCAGTAAAGTAACAAAATTATATTACTACTAAAATAATAATTATAATAATAGAATGTGTGGAGGGGTAGTAAATATGTTGGCAGTTTGTATCTGGGTGGATCTCCAGGTGGAAGAACAGGAAGTGGAGAAGCGAGAGTAAACAACACAGTGTTGACACCTGCTCCACATACTCAACAATGTGAATATCAACAACTAAACTCTATTTTTTTATGTAAATTATTTATGGGATCACCACCCCCGCAGCATTAGTTTATATATTTTTTTCTTTCAACACACCGGCAGTATCCCACCGAGGCGGGGTGGCCCAAAAGGAAAAACGAAAGTTTCGCCTTTTACATTTAGTAATATATACATGAGAAGGGGTTACTAGCCCCTTGCTTCCGGCATTTTAGTTGCCTCTTACAACACGCATGGCTTACGGAGGAAGAATTCTGTTCCACTTCCCCATGGAGGTAAGAGGAAATAAACAAGAACAAGAACTAGAAAGAAAATAGAAGAAAACCCAAAGGGGTGTGTATATATATGCTTGTACATGTATGTGTAGTGTGACATAAGTGTAAGTAGAACTAGCAAGACATACCTGAAATCTTGCATGTGTATGAGACATAAAAAAAAAAGACACCAGCAATCCTACCATCGTGTAAAACAATTACAGGCTTCAGTTTTACACTCGCTTGGCAGGACGGTAGTACCTCCCTGGGCGGTTGCTGTTTACCAACCTACTACCTAGGATATATATATATATATATATATATATTATATATATATATATAATATATATATATGTCGTGCCGAATATGTAAAACTGGTCAATTAGCAAGAACTCATTTAAAATTAAGTCCTTTCGAAAATTTTCTCTTATACGTTTAAAGATATATATTTTTCATTAATGTTAATGTAAAAAATTTTAATTTTGCATCAAAAGAATCTTAGAAAACTTACCTAACCTTATAACAAGAGCAATCTAACCCAACTAAATATATATTAGATTTCTTTACAATAATTTAACACTAAAGAAACACAGTGAAATATATTTTTTTCGTTAGGTTCAGAATGATTTTGGCGAAATTATTGCATACACAAATTTTCGCTTGTCTTATATGGCAAGATGAACGTTGCTATTTAAGCCAAGATCGCAAGTTCTGCCTATTCGGCACGACATATATATATATATATATATATATATATATATATATATATATATATATATATATATATATATATATATATATATATATATAAATGACAATTGTGTTACAGAGGTGTGAGCTGTGCTCAGACCTCTGTAACACAAATATGCTCAAAGATCTGTTAAGTTATACCATGAATTAAGAAAAGATCCTGGACTTCACTTTACGAAAGCAGACAAAACAAATGCGATAGTAATTATGGACAAGATAGAGTATAGTGGAAAAGTGAAGATATTAAAAGACAGGTGAACTTAAGTGCCTCTCAGAATTCTCTGCTCGATATACCACATATTGTTCTCATACACATCTTTGCTGCCTCCAGCTTCCTTCTCGCTGGAAAGTCCAAAACTCGTATAAAAGTGTTGGGAACCACTGTACTCTGGTACAGCAACTTTCTCCGTCTCCACAGATCATTTTTCCCCACAGATACTTCAATACACCTCACATACATACATTCTCCCAGTGTTCAGAAGTATATTCCATCTTCCAGCTGAGCTCCGTTAAGAATTTTGACATTATCCGAGTGGTTGGTCTTGTCTCAGTCTTATCACGGGAAGTTTTTCCAAGAACAGACGCACAAGCATACACACACACACGCGCGCGCGCAGTAAGGAATCGTTGAAGACTTTATACACTGTGTACGTCAGGCTCATACTGGAGTACGTAGCACCAGTTTGGAACCTATCCCTGGTTAAACACGTCAAGAAATTAGAGAAAGTCCAAAGGTTTGCAACAAGGCTAGTTCCAGAGCTAAGGGGAATGTCCTACGAAGAAAGGTTAAGGGAAATCGGTCTGACGACACAGGAGGACAGGAGGGTCAGGGGAGACATGATAACGGCATGCAAAGTACTGCGTGGAATAGACAAGGTGGACAGAGACAGGATGTTCCAGAGATGGGACACAGAAACAAGGGGTCACAATTGGAAGCTGAAGACTCAGATGAGTCAAAGGGATGTTAGGAAGTGTTTCTTCAGCCACAGAGTTGTTAGGAAGTGGAATAGTCTGGCAAGCGATGTAGTGGAGGCAGGAACCATACATAGTTTTAAGACGAGGTATGATAAAGCTCATGGAGCAGGGAGAGGGAGGACCCAGTAGCGGTCAGTGAAGAGGCGGGGCCAGGAGCTGAATCTCGACCCCTGCAACCACAATTAGGCGAGTGCAATTAGGTGAGTACACACCTACTCACTACACAGCCAAATCCTCCAGCCTGGAAGACTGATAGGCGTGCGTGAATCTCCAGATTTAAGTTAGAAAAGTCGAACTGGGGGTAAATATTGGTGTATTTAAGGTGAGGTGTGGCCCGTGATGCCGTGTTGGCCCCAGGCACCACCTAGGATGCCATACCGGGAGATGCCAAGGAGGGCGGGCGCCACCATAGTTATACATTACATTTTTGGACAGTGTATGTGTGGTATCCGGCAGACTCAAATTTTTGGGAAATCAAAAGAGGAGGAAGGACTTGCTGGAGGATGGTGGGTACCACTTGAAGGATATCTGATAGAGGGGTATCTGAAGGATACTTGAGGGATACCTGAAGGATACTTGAGGGATACCTGAAGGATACTTGAGGGATACCTTAAGGATACTTGAGGAATACTTGAGGGATACCTGAAGGATACTTGAGGGATACCTGAAGGATACTTGAGGAATACTTGAGGGATACCTGAAGGATACTTGAGGGATACCTGAAAGATACTTGAGGGATACCTGAAAGACACGTAAGGGCTACCTGAAAGACACTTGAGGGTTACTTGAAGGATACCTAGATACCTGTGTTGTTTGATGGTGTTGAGACATATAACAGTGGGAATACCAGCAATGTGCTACCCCTTGCCACTCACATTCATCGGATCAAACCTGATTGCCTCCCGTTTCCCCCAGGCTGTGTTTTGACCCACGCGGATTTAGTTCTTTCCACTGAAAACACTAATAGCGTGTGGTTTCCGTTCTTCCAACAGAACCGGGAGCAGCCACCAACGGGACGGTCAACGGATCGCGGCCCTCCGTTGATTCTCTCCTGGACGAACTCAACAGTGTCAACACCAACCAGTGAGTATTGTTTGTTGTATTGTTTGTTGTTTGTGAGTATAGTGTTTATAGTGGGTATTGTCTGTACAGTAATACAGCTTGTACTCCTGGAGGTTATTCCGGGGATCAGCGCCCCCGCGGCCCGGTCCATGACCAGGCCTCCCGATGGATCAGGGCCTGATCAACTAGGCTGTTACTGCTGGCCGCACGCAGTCCAACGTACGAGCCACAGCCCGGCTGATCCGGCACTGACTTTAGGTATCTGTCCAACTCTCTCTTGAAGGCAGCCAGGGGTTTATTTGTAATTCCCCTAATGCTTGATGGGAGGCTGTTGAACAGTCTTGGGCCCCGGACACTTATGGTGCTCCTCTCTGTATATATTTATCTCACAAGTTTTGACTACTAGCGCAAGTTGTGGCAGTCGCTGTAGCCTCTATGTTACCATCCCATACGAGTCTAGCGCTTGTTTCTTAATAATCTGAAGACTTTACAACATTCCCTCTTGCTTGCCAGTAGGAAATCTCAGTTTTTTTTAATTCAAGCGAACGGTTGCCAGCAGCAACAGCCTGGTTGACCAGGCTAACACCAGACAAGCCTAGCCCAGATTCGCTCAAGAGAATGTTTTAGCTCGAGCAAAAACGTTCTGCTGAACGAATCCGCTTGGACTTCCTACTCATTTATGCAGCATTGCAAGCTGCTGGTGTTGCAACACAAAAGGCCTAGAACTATCATTCAACTCTCACTGTAGTTGATGCATATATATATATATATATATATTATATATATATATATATATATATATATATATATATAATATATATATATATATATGTCGTGCCGAATAGGTAAAACTGGTCAATTAGCAAGAACTCATTTGAAATTTAGTCGTTTCTAAAATTTTCTCTTATACTTTTAAAGATATATTTTTTCATTTATGTTAATGTAAAAATTATTAAGTTTGTACCAAAAGAACCTTAGTAAATTTACCTAACCTTATTATAACAAGTGCAATTTAATTTACCCTGATCCAACTAAATATATTTTAGATAAGTTTACAATAATTTAATGATAAACAAACACAATGAAATATATATAATTTTTGTTAGGTTCAGAATGATTTTTGCGAAATTATTGCATACAGAAATTTTAGCTTACTTTATTCGGCAAGACAAGCGCAAGTTTTACCTATTCGGCACGACATATATATATATATATATATATAATATATATATATATATATATATATATATATATATATATATATATATATATATATATATATAAATAATGGTGTCCACCTCTGGTGTAAATTGTGGGACCCACAGCCTCGGAGAAGTGGATAAAAAGGCTTCAAGGAAGAATATTTGGCTTTCTTCCTGAAGCCGTTTGAATATTCCACTTCCCCTACCACCCCATCTTTTCATTTTTTTACCTGTAGGTATATTTTATTACATAATATGGTATAAAAGATTTAAGAGATACATTGTTGATATAAAGACGGCATATACAGTACACGAGATGTGAGAGAGAAATTTCTAGTATATATTGTTACGTGTTTGTCACTGATTATATTGCGAGAATCTCATCCAGCTCTTCAGAACTGGGGCGCGTGCCCAAAATACAGCAGGCATTACCCCACTGAACAGCAGCTCTGAGTCGCTGGAACAGAAAACTAGCTGCCCTGGGATCCCTAGTTACCCTGATGAGTCTTTTCCCAGCTCCTTAAGGAACTTAGATGCACTCTATCCCCATGAGTCAAGGGTCTCAGAGCCTATGGGAACAAACATATAATGATGGGCAATTTTCCATATTTCCTAGAATATAATTATATATATATATTATATATATATATATATATATATTATATATATATATATATATATTATATATATTATATATATATATATATATATATAATCATTGGTGTGTTCACCCATCAGTTTCTCCTCACACAACAGCTATCACAGTTCCTGCTCCACTTAATCTTCTGAGTCAAAGTTCTGGTGCTAAATTTTGCTACCAAAATGTCGTTTTAATTTCTAAAAAAGTTCGTGTAAATATATATATCTTGTTTGATAATTATCTGAGCATTTTAGAGCAGTGTATATTATATGTACATTTGTACACATAATGTACACGTGTAAATAATATTGCTCTCCATAACAAAGAAAATAAAATGATCTTCGATTTTTACATGGAGATTATGGTCATTAAGCGCTAAACCCACAAGGGGCGTAGACGGGGAGCACATGCAGTGCAGATTTTTGCGTGAGGTTGAATATTTCGCTTCTCGTGCCACCCATCATCGTCCTGCATACCTCGGTAATAACTTGATGTTGGGTGGAGGGGGCTCTTGATTCAGGGACCTGGAGCTATGCTTCCCTTTTCTCGCATCGAAATTCATTGCCTCCAAATTCCTTGTTCTTTTATTTTATTATTATTTTATTATTATTTTATATTACTATTATTATTATTATTATTATTATTATTATGACAGGTATATTGGTGGAATTCTACCTTGAAGGAGTTGCAATAATCCCTCACCCAGGTCTGATATACCTTAATTACTCTTGACATCACCTTACCTAGGTCTGACATCACCTTACCTATGTCTGACATCACCTAACCTAGGTCTGACATCATCTCATCCAGGTCTGACATCACCTCATCCAGGTCTGACGTCATCTCACCACAATCACACTGTTCAATCTCTGTCTCTAAAATCTTTCATGTCTTCCCTCATTTACATTTAAACCCTCCCTTCACCCTACCCACTTCCCCCTCACCTACACCTCACTCCTCCTCCCTCACCAGGAGGTATTTCTCAACCTCGTTAACCTACTTTCGTTGTAGGTGAGTTGGTCGCTTATTTCCCGACCAACCTCCTCACCCTCTTACTCTTCCTGCTCGTGTCTCTTCCTTCTTTTCAATCTTTTTATTCCTTTTCTGGCTTCCCCGCCGCTCTTTCTCGTTCTTCTATCCATTCTCTACCTCCTTTCCTTCTTTCCTCTTTTTATTCCTTTTTCTGGTTTCTCCTCTTCTTTCCCGCCCTTCCATTCCTTCACCTTCCCTTTTTCCCATTTCATACCCCCACTTTTAGCTTCTATATTCTTAATATCAGTTTTTGACGCGTCTTTCTGATGTAACAAATTATTGAGTTGTTTTAACGATATTTTTCTCGCATTGTCTTCCTTATTACCTTTGGTATACCTCTGAGGGCTTTCCAGAGTTTTCCCTTTTTGTGGCAGCCCGCTGTCCCAGCGGCTGGAGATCAACATTCCAGTGGGTAACACACCTAGTAGAAATTACAAAGGAATGTGAAGTAAGACATGTGAGGTAGGTGAGACATGTGGGATAGATGAGACATATGGGATAGATGAGACATATGGGATAGATGAGACATGTGAGGTAGACATGTAGGGTAGATGAGACATGTGAGGTAGATGAGACATGTGGGATATGTGAGGTAGACATGTGGGGTAGATGAGACATGTGAGGTAGATGAGACATGTGGGATAGATGAGACATATGAAGTAGACGAGACATGTGAGGTAGATAAGACACATGTGAGCAGTTTCTTGACACATGTACAGTACTGGGAGACTCGAAACGTTTCGCCACGAGTGAGTTATTCGATCCTTCCGCCTGTGGTTATCTCTGAGGAATTGAGGAAGACATTCGGGCGGGCGAAACGTTTCCTCGTGGGCGTCACCATAGTTTGTTTGGCAAATGGACACATATGCAACTATTGTGACATTGTGGCAACGTTTCGCTCTCCAGGAGCTTTGACAAAGACAGCTCCTGGAGAGCGAAACGTTGCCACAATAAAATGTCACATAAGTTGTATCTGTCTGAGTCATACCGTCAAGATGTGCGTCATACTGTGCTTCATGCCGTCAAGCTGTGTGTCATAACGTCAAGCTGTGCTTCATGCCGTCAAGCTGTGTCATAACGTCAAGCTGTGCTTTATGCTGTCAAACTGCTTCATAAGAACATAAAGAAAGAAGGAACACTGCAACAGGCCTACTGACCCATGCGGAGCAGGTCCATGTCCCTCCCCCCCCCGGATTAGACCAATGACCCACCCAGTGTGGCCATCCCCACTCAAGGATGGAGCACTGTACCAGACCCAGCAGCACAAGCTAGTCAGGTCCAACTCACACCCACCCACACCCACTCATGTATTTATCTAACCTATTTTTAAAACTACACAACGTTTTAGCCTCAATAACTGTACTCGGGAGTTTGTTCCACTCATCCACAACTCTATTGCCAAACCAGTGCTTTCCTATATCCTTCCTGAATCTGAATTTTTCCAACTTGAAACCATTGCTGCGAGTCCTGTCTTGGCTTGAAATTTTCAGCACACTATTTACATCCCCTTTATTTATTCCTGTTTTCCATTTATACACCTCCATTTATTCATACTGCCAAGCTGTGCTTCATGCCGTCAAGCTGTGTGTCATACTGTCAAGTTGTGCTTTATACCGTCAACCTGTGCGTCAAATTGAGCTTCATACCGTCGATCTGCTGATATGTCTTCCCTGTACTCTCTCCCCTGAACTTTCTCATTTAATTAAGCACCCCGGCACTCTCCCACAGAGCTGGAGTGACCCTCCAAAAAGGGAAGAAACACACTCGCCATCGTTCATTCAGTCGCCTTCTTGCCAGAAAGGTTCTGACAACCCCTCAAGATAGAAATGTGCAGGAATATTTTCTACCGTTGTGCGCAGGTAGCTAGTAATGAAATATTCGGCCTAGCTAATATTAATATTATTTACTAGCTAATATTATCCAGCCTGACGCCCACCTCTGACCTACCTAGATGACTGTATTAAACCCAGGCAACAAGTTAGGGCAAGGACAGGTGTGCCAGGGCTCTCACAGGTGTGTGTGAGAGTTCTGGCACACTGTGGCACATGTGTGGCACCTGTGTTGAACCCTGGCTTGGTTCAGGCGTCTTACAAGGTTCATAAAAGTCTCTCGACTAGTGGGGTGATTAACACACACTCAGACAAGGA